ATTTATTTAATATAGTATATTGTTCAACAAGAACGGAATGATAGTGATTTTCCCCGAGAATAAAATTTGCAGCATGAGCCGTAGGCGAAGAATGCTGCAATCATTCGAGTGGGAAATTAGCATTCCCTGCGAGTTATACACCATAATTTTTCTACGGCTGTGACAGATATAACAGCGACATTTTTGATTTCTTCGTCTTGTATCCATCTGATTTCCTCTCCGTTTTTCGTCAAACTAATTTAATTTTTTGACAACTGTCAAAAGTCATTCTCGTCATTCCCTGTAGTGAGACGGAATGAAAAGTAGCAACCGGAATCGGAAAAGTTGCAAATGAAACTACAAATCGAATGATTCTGATGGTGGCGGAGTCGGAAAAATAGAATTATTTTTGCCATTTATTCTGCCACTTTTGAAAAATATTTATTTATACAATCGGTATGCTTTAAATAATTGTGGTGCATGGCTGTATGTATAGATTATATTTTGCCTAAATAGGTATTGAAACTTATAGACACCCATGTGACTTTATACCAATGGAGTTGCAGATCTGTATGATGTTGAACAGCTAGAAACAGGAGTTGACACATACTCATCATACATACATGATTTGAAAGTAGGTTATTTGTGTGATTTGATTAAAGAAATACTTCATGTCGTGATATTAGATAATCATCCAATATGTTATTAGTTTGCCATTCTGACATCATGACGTTTTGTTATTTGTGATACTTTCACATAAGTTTTATGATGAATAAAGCCTTCATTTCCTAGAAAGGTTCATCACTACAATTCATTCATCATATAAAATCCGAAACCTCCAGAATGGATCGATTCCTTAAACCAGCCCCTACCGCCACTCAGGAATGGAAGTACTGGCTGAGAACTTTCGAAAATTTTGCCATCTCATTCCATGATCTTGATGATGCTGGTAAGCTCAATCTCCTCATTAATTTCGTATCTCACGCCATATACCAATTGATATCTGATAGCGAAATTTACGATGAAGCAATGGGCATTCTGAAGTCTATATATGTGAGACCAACGAATGAAATTTTTGCAAGGCATAAACTTGCCACTAAGAAGCAGCAATCTGAAGAGTCGATTGATCAGTACCATCAGGCTTTAGAACTACTAAGCAAAAGCTGTGACTTCGCAGCTGTGGATGCAGAGACTCTTCGCAAATCCTATGTCCGTGACGTATTTATTCGTGGCATCAACTCGCATCAGATTCGTCTGAGGCTTCTAGAATTCAGCACATTAACGCTTGAGGAAGCAGTTGAGAAGGCTCGTGCTTTAGAATCAGCTAAGACTCATTCCACACTCATTAAGTGAGGCAAACCTAAATGCAAGTTCTTTGGCTGAAGACAAAGTTGGCGACGCTCTACAAAACTGTGCTGATCTAGCGGCTGTCCGTTCTAATCAGAAATGCTACTTTTGCGGCCATTCTCGCCATCAATCACGTCAACAATGTCCCGCCATGAATGCCGAATGCGACAACTGCAAAAAGATGGGACATTGGGCAATCGTATGCAGATCCCCCTAGAAAACCATTAGGAAGACAACCAAGGCCGCGGCACAAATCGCTGCTTCGACACCAGCTCTAGATATGGCTACCGTGTAACCGTTGCCATTCTTATCGACACTGAGAGTTCTGAAACATTCATATCCGAGCATTTTGCAGAAAGCTGTCGTTTCAAGATGTATCCAACTTCAGGTTCTGTCTCTATGGCCTCAACATCCCTCAATTCAAAAATTTCGAAGTATTGCCTGGCAAAACTCATTTTACTGGGTCATCATTATGATAATGCAAAACTCAATGTGCTGCCTGATTTATGTAGCGATGTGATAGTGGGTCACGATTTGCTTAAACAACATTCGGAATCGAAATTCGTATTTGGTGGTTCCAAACCATATTTAACGGTTTGCTACCTAGCTCCTGCCGAAATCGAAGCTCCTCCACTTTTTGAGCACCTCACAAGGAATGTTACACCGATTATCACAAAATCTCGAAAATATTCAAATGAAGATTACATGTTCATGAAGAAAGAAATTAATAAACTCCTTATGGACGGCATAATTGAAGAAAGCAGGTCTCCATGGAGGGCACAAGCATTTGTTGTAAAAAATGATAATCACAAGAAAAGGATGGTTATCGATTATTCTCAAACCATTAACCGTTACACCTCGCTGGATGTTTATCCTTTACCTGATTTCGAGTGTGTAGTTTCAAAGGTATCTAAAAACTCCTATTTCAGCACAATAGATTTCAAAAGTGCGTATCATCAAATCCCATTGAGAGAAAGGGACCGGCCTTTCACTGCTTTCGAGGCCTGTGGTCGCCTTTATCAATTTTGTCGTCTTGCGTTTGGCCTCACAGATGGCGTCCCCACATTCCAGCGTGCAATCGATGACGTCATTTCAAAGGAGAAATTAGAGAAAACATACGCGTATCTTGATGATATGTGACCGTTTGCGGAAAGGATAAAGATGAACACGACCGAAACCTCCAACGATTTATGGAAGCAGTAAATAAATATGGTTTCACAATAAATCAGGATAAAAGCAGTTATGGTCAATCATCAATCAATTTACTTGGGTATAAAATAGAGAACAACACAATTTCACCTGATCCCTATCGTTTGAAACCGTTGCTAAGTCTACCTCCACCTAATACTCCTAAGGAACTTGAGCGTACGATTGGAATATTCGCACATTATTCTAGATGGGTACCTAATTATTCGGACAAGGTCAGGAAACTTTTGAATACAAACACTTTTCCCATATCTCCAGAGGTGAAATCTGATTTTGAAAATTTGAAAATCGAGATATCAAAGTCAGTAGTTCAAACAATTGACGAAAAAGAACCCTTCGTAGTCGAAACAGATGCCTCTGATTTCTCGATTTCTGCTGTTCTCTCCCAATTAGGCCGTCCAGTCGCATTCTTTTCACAAAAGCTAAACGATAGTGAACGAAAACATTCTGCTGTGGAAAAAGAAGCGTACGCTATAGTAGGTGCTCTAAAGAAATGGAGACATTATTTGATGGGTCGTTATTTTCAGATAATAACAGACCAGCGCTCTGTATAGTTTATGTTTGACATAAACCATAAGAACAAGATCAAAAATGAAAAAATTCAACGGTGGCGCTTAGAACTTTCCTTTTACAATTATGATATTCTTTATAGGCCAGGGAAACAGAATCAAGTTGCAGATGCCTTCTCATCGAGGGTGTGCAGTTCCATTATTCAACCAAGCAAACTCCACTCACTTCATTGTGACTTGTGTCATCCTGGTGTAACTCGGATGATACACTGGGTGCGAACTCATAATAACCTACCATTTTCTGTCAAAGAAGTGCGAAAAGTGACTGCATCCTGCCCTGCGTGTAACAGTGAAACCAAAATTCCATAAAAACAATAATTCACATCTCATCAAAGATACTCATCCTTTCGAGCGACTCAGCATGGATTTCAGAGGCCCACTTCCATCTAAGTCTCGTAATAAAAGTATCTTCTTACAATCATTGATGAGTATTCACGATTTCCATATGCGTACCCTTGTTCAGACATGACTTCATCAACTGTGATCAATTGTCTCGTTGACTTGGTTTCATTGTTCGGCGTTTCTTCCTATGTTCACACGGATAGAGGCGCATCATTCATTTCCAAAGAAATTCAAAATTTTCTTCACACACGCGGTGTGGCGACCTTTCAATCCCGTGCAATCCCCCCGGAAATGGACAGATAGAGCGCGAGAATAGCACTAAGTATTTGGCGAACGGTGTCTCTCGCCCTGAAACAAAGGAACTTGGAAGTATCCAATTGGGAAATGGTTCACCCAGATGCGCTTCATTCCATCAGATCTCTCCTTTGCACAGCAACTAACGAAACAACCCATCAAAGGATGTTCATGCATAATCGAAGATCTACCAATGACTGCTCTCTACCTTCCTGGTTAGTTCCTTCTTCTAAAGTACTTATGAAGAAACATTTGCGATCGAGTAAATTTGACCCACTGGTAGAAGAAGTGGAACTTATAGGAGTGAATCCGCAATACGCCCGAGTCAAGCTAGAAGATGGGAGGCATATACAACCGTGTCCCTTAAACACTTGGCTCCCAACGGCCAAGTAGAAATACAACCGAAACATCCTCCAATGCTTAATGAAAATGACCTAACCTCATGCCAACAACAATCGGATAATCAAGAATCTGGATATCAACTTGCTGATCAAGAAAATCAAGAGCCACCTCTGCCACCGCAGACTATCCTGAAGATCCACTTTTATTATTGATCAAGGATATCCAGATCCTCCTACCACTGGAGAGAGTCTTGTTCTTTAATGGGTCTACTCCCTCTCGCCGTGCCTCCCACTAAATGTCTCCCACTCAACAACTGATCCTTCATCCACATTTCAAGACAGTTCTCACCCTCGTTAATCTAGAAATCGTCGACTGCCAGAAAGATTGAAGGACTATGAGATGAATTATTGATGGGAGGAAGAATGTGGTGATATTAGATAATCATCCAATATGTTATTAGTTTGTTATTCTGACATTATGACGTTTTGTTATTTGTGATACTTTCACATAAGTTTTATGATGAGTAAAGCCTTCATTCCCTAGAAAGGTTTATCACTTCAAATAATAGAAACTTGAGATTTATTGTGTGATTCACCAATTTATATACCTACCATAGTATGGAATACAATTTTATAGGAAAATATATATTCATTTTATCTTTGTTTTCTTTCAAATCTGAATAAATGAAGTTTTCTACTACCATTTTCTATCTGATGTTGTCAACTAACCGAATATGAGAAAATGTGATGAAAAATGTCGCTAAATCACGGAGAAATGTTGCTAAATTTCCCAAAATTTCGCCTGCGGCAAGCTTTCTGCAAGCTTTCTGTTCGCTTCGCTCGCTCTAGCAGTTTTCGTGAGTTTTTGCGACATATCATGTTCAGCAGCTGGCAACACTGACCAATGTCTTGTCAGTGTCACTCTTGTCACTTGTCACTAGTTAGTCTTGTCTGATTGGAAAGATTATTCAGTCAGATTCAGATTAATTTTATATAATAATATCAATAATATTATATAGTTGCTCAATTTTCATTCAAATCTATATCAATCCATCTATTCTATGTTACATGAAGCAAAAGTACCATGTTTACACCAACTTCCGTATCATTGTCGGGCCCAGCATTCTCATTTCTCCTGTATGAAAATAGTAAATGCCGCTTTCAACAAGTAGGTAGTTCCATAGATCTGTTTTCAATATTGAATGAAAATGTATCATTGTATAATCAATTATATTTCATTTCAGGAAGGATTTCTAATTGGGGAAATTGTTGAGAAAGAGACAAAGACAATTACTGATAATGATCAACAACAAGTTAACATTACAAAAACCATAAAAATAAATTCTGCCATACCCTGTCCTTACTCCCATTTTTTTTATAGTGGTTCAGGGAAGCTTCATAAAGAGAAACTATCAGACTTTTTGGGTACTCATGTGGATAGAGTTGTGGCCTGGTACAAGTATCAACGTGTTGGAAATCTGAAGTTCACTTTAAGGGACAATATTATACATAGTCAGTTGATGGATTTCTTTCAAATACCACCTGAACTATTCACCTGTTGTTTATTGAATAATGAAATATCTGAGAATGGGTCAACATACACTTATTCACAAACATTTTTGAGAGTTAATAATCAGAGAATTGATAGGTTGCCAATTACAATACCCAATCTGAGTGAACCAAATGATACTTACAAAAACTCTGAACCTGCCTCTGAAACCTTCAGGAAAATTCTTGGTGATTTGAAAATTGACAGAAGATCCACTCAAGGATCTGTGGTGATAAACAGAATTCAAAATGCTTTACAAAAACATATAGATAGTGTTGTACAGAAGTTATCAGAGTCTGAGCAGTATATATATGAATTGGAAGAAGATTTACACACACTTCAAATTTCACAGAAGTTGAAGAAAATGAATGAAGAATTAATTTCAGAAAATGCATCACCAACAAGAACATCTGAATCAGAAGATAGTCCAAGGGTTTATCATGGTATAGATAGCACACCATCTGAGAAGGAAAGCTCCCCTGAACTGCAGCGCAAAACTGGCAGGGCTGGCAGTGTTCGTGGAAGGGGTGGGAAGAGAGGCTTATTTAATGATAAGGAGACCAAAGCAACAAGAAGGCCTTCAAGGACTGAAAAACTGATTAAAACTTCAGAAGACTAGATTTCTTTTATATTATATTGACAGCAATTTACAGGTTAGTTGGTAATTATTATTATTCATCAAGTCTCACTGATTTCATAGGGACACTATTCCTATTTCCTGAATGCTAAGTGATAAAAAGTTGATCAAATTGGAGAGAAGTTGCATGAATCAGACCTCTTCATCTGTATCGCAAACTGAAAAAAATGCATATTCTTGAAATATTTTGAAAAAACTGAAAATCACTGATTTTGTTTTCATTTGTTTGCCAGTACCTATGCAATAACAATGCTTTGGACATGATTGAAGGAATTTATTATTTTGGGAATTTTCTGGACCATACAATAGTGTGAATTTTGCCTCAACAAATGTGATAGTATTTAAACTAGACAAATATGATTGCATTCACACTATTCATATTCAGCATTTAAAAATTACAGTGTGAAAAAGGTTTATAGACCATGACTTGATTACTCTGTATAGGTAGGTAGTTACTTTATTTGTACCAATATATTCAATTTTTTTTAGAACATGTGTTCATCTCTTTCAGAAACCACACAAGAACATACCTTAAGTTTATATGGAGAACAAAGGCAAACATGGATTTTTTGGAGATAACAGAAACAATACATGTTTCACAATATTCTGATTGCTGCCCTGAGGCATTATGATTTTTTTAAATGGAACATCCTGTATTTTATAAGCTCAATAAATTCCTTATTTTTCCCCTTCAAAATGAAATATGTGTAAATATAAAATTTTCAAAAATGCTCCAAAATAACTAAACCATTAAATTTTAATAGTAGGCTATGGATTTTTCCTATAAAAAAGTCCCAATTGAAGGAATATTTCTTTTGATTTTTTCATGAAGAGGACAACAATACCAACACTAATTAACTATCAGAAGATAAAGCTTAGGTACCTGATAGCAACAAATAAATAGTGAATGAGCACCTGATTAAATATTTACTAAAACAATTCAATTTTGAAATTATTCAGTAACTTTCATTAAATTGTTCAAATTGATGTCCATTTTCCCTAACACACAATTGACACATTTTCTCAATATGTCTCAATACAGTAAGAGGTACAACAATCTTGAAGAACAGCATGCAACAACAGAGGCAGTTTAGACATCCTTTAATGATTTTGAATGTGTTTTAAGAGTATTGAGAAAGTGTGTGAGGGCCAGTTAGGGGAAATGGACTTCAATTTGAAAAATTTGATGAATAAGTTACTGATGAATAATTTCAAAATTCAATTTGTTTAGTAAATATTTAATCAGGTGCTTATTCTACATTATGAACTTTTTATTACCATTTATTTGTAGCTATCAGGTACCTAAGTTTTATGTTTTGTTAGTTATTCAGTATTGATATTGTTTTTGTCCTCTTCATGGAAAAAGATAAAGGAATATTCCTTCAATTGGCCCACTATTAAAATTCAATGTTTTAGTGATTTTGGAGTATTTTGAAAATTTTTCTATTCATACATTATATATCATTTCGAAAGAAAAAATAAAGAATTGACTGAGCTAATAAAATACAGGCTGTTTCATTTAAAAAATCACGTTCAAGATTATAATTTGACATTTTCGCTGAGAAACTTCATAGATATAAAGGGAGTCCAAGAAGTATGAATTTTTAAAATCGCCCTGTATCACATTAACGCAGGGTTGGAATAAGTCATGACTTTTATAAAAAAGTCAAAAAAGTCTGACTTATTGAATTGATTCGGACTTTTTTGAATTAATTCATTTGAGAAAAAATCAAATTCTATTTACTTGAACAAAATACAAGAACATCGCAGAAACTAAGTTTTCATTTCCGTTGAAGATCTCAAAGCATGACAATAAATACTCAAAATATGCCATTTTTGCAATATGAACTGAGACTATTTATTGAATGAAAAATGATGTTTATGCAACTTAAATTACTCATTCACAATCTTCATTATAGAGGCGCTTTACAGTTATTTTCAATAAAATGCAGCAATTTCCATGGCGCGCCTACGGATTGGTGTCACCTTGGAAAACAATTTTTCGATGCATTGCAAGAAATGAGTACGGACCTATTTATTTATAATGTGGTAATTTGTATTACTGGTGCAATTCTAGTGGTGACATGTTAGCTTTTTGGAATTTCACACATCATTAGATACACATTGGAACTTTTCTTGCCTTTCTCATGGTTTCTTCTACCCAACTCTTGACCCAACTCAAAACTCGGTGAGAAGTAATACACAGAATCTATGACAAAAAGACATTGCAAGCCGGTAATTCCGATTCAGTGTTGAAAAGCCTACGTATTATTTTTGCCGGAAATATGAATTGGAGCAATCCATTGCATGCAATGAAATATTGTAAACTGTAAAGCGGTAAGCGGTTCCTAGAAAATTTTGTTTTCCGCGTGTGGTGCTTCACGGTTGTCAGTTGTCAGCTGCCATCGAATATCTCATTTTGAACTAGTTTAAATTGAAGGTAATAATGCGATTTGTTCCCATTTGATAAATTTTGAATTACTTCACGACTTATTTGAAAAAAGTCATTTGAATTAATTCACGAATTAAATCACTGACTTAATTCATATGAATTAATTCGTGCCAACCCTGCATTAACGAGAACAGTTATGCAAAATCTGATTAGGCCATCTTGAATTTCATAAGTGACACAGGACCTTGAAAACCGCAAGGTTCTATCTCCAAAGATAACCAAGATATCACGCAAAACATTGTACAAATACAGTGTGACCCATTTAAAATGGAACCACCCCTGTATCTCACGTAATCGTTGGGTAAGGATCCTGAAATTTGCTGGAGCGAGAGATATACCAAAAATGCACTTTATGGCCAAGTGGGGTCATCTTCAGTGATATACACTGCTCGCCAACAGCCATGAAACTACCCCAATTTCCGGAAAATGATATTAGGAGTCAAAATAGGTCGAAAATCACTTCAGATTTGGAATCAGGACGCCCAATTTACTAACTATTCAAATTTTTCCTGGAAAATTTTCAGTTCGGAAAAATGAAATTTTGTCGCATTTTTTATGGAAGCACCCCCGTATCTCACGTAATTGACTTTATCTTTCGACTTTCTCTTCCTCCGGCAAATTTTCGAACTGAAAATTTTCCAGGAAAAATTTGAATAGTTAGTAAATTGGGCGTCCTGATTCCAAATCTGAAGTGATTTTCAACCTATTTTGACTCCTAATATCATTTTCCGGAAATTGGGGTGGTTTCATTGCTGTTGGCGAGCAGTGTATATCACTGAAGATGACCCCACTTGGTCATAGAGTGCATTTTTGGTATATCTCTGGCTCCAGCAAATTTCAGGATCCTTACCCAACGATTACGTAAGATACAGGGGTGGTTCCATTAGAAGTGGGTCACACTGTATATGACTATAGCAAAACATTTGTTGAATTCAGATAAAATAGACAACATCATGATTTTTATTGAGGTAGGTACAGTTGCCAAAATGTCGCACATGGGCGGTGCAATGAGAGTGCTAACACCAAACAAGCATGACGTGTGAAAACGATATTTTTGACACCGTCGTCGATTTAAAAAAGTATCATACCTCATTTTACAAATTCTGTAAGTACAGGCCGCACAAAAACGAATTAGTCTCAAAACGAATGCAATTATTTTGAAATTTAATAATGCATTTGAGTACCTATACCTACTTTTATAATTTGGGTATTTCAGAATACTTGTTTTATTATACAAAGTGGTCCGCTCAGAAGCATAGCAGAACAGTTATGTCATTCCCTAACCTTCAAGACTTTTCAGGGTCATTGTAGGGTCCACTTAGTTTTTTCTCAAATGTCAAATGAAAATAATCTATTTGATTTTTTACTTGATATTGAAGAATTTTTTTCATTTGACACAGTTTTACATTCAATCATATACAAATCGCTTGGACCCGTTGATTTTTGATGGGGAAACATTTTTTGCCAGTTTCACCCACTGAACGGAAATCCTCTAGCGGGAGGTGAGACTCTGAAATCTTGAATGGATGGAGGGGTCGAATGATATCTTATTTCGAATGTATTTTTACCTAGATTATAACCCTCGAGTTTTACATCTCTACTATTTAAGTTTTACTTTTGACTGTAACGAAAGTCACGTTACCCAGAAGGTTTATGCCATTTTTCATCTTTTAGGAAGCAAAACTCATCAGCGACCAAGTCGAATTACTAAATAAATTATGAGGTATATCAAAAGTTTTTCCCCAACTTACTAAAAGACACTGTATAGTGCGTAATTCTTTGATATCTCGAAAGCCATAACCTATAGAGAAAAACTTTGAAGGAAAAACCTTTTCAGTTACTAAAGTTGCTTATTTCAAAAATATTTTCAACATTACTGGATCTTTCATAAAAGCGGGACGACTCGGAGACGAGTTTTTTTAAATGGAACACCCAGTATTGTTTCTTCGGAATTTAATCCGCCTAAGTTTACCTTCACATCGCTGCAAAAAAAATTAAATCGGTTGCGGCGTTGCCAAGTTATAATTGATAAATCCATGTTTACCTCTACTGTAGAGTCATGTTGAATTGGGCATGGTATATTCATTTATTCAAATTTTGAAAATATTTTTGGCATACGATAATAGCAAGGTCGCACGTATACATATCCAGTAATTTTGCGACATGTTCTTCAACAGGCTGCTCAATTTTGCATTTAGAATTTTACAAAATTCAGATGACATTCATTAGAATTTTTCAAATGGAACACCATGTATTTTCATTCATAAATTCATTCCGACATCTTTCCCCATTTTATTGCTGAGAAAAAAAATTTAAATCGGTTGCGGCGTTGTCAAGTTATGGATAATTTCCTTACTTTTACGACTATTTCGGGGTAATTTGTACGTCATAGTTCTTTCATTGATTTGTATTGTGGAAATATTGCGTTGCTACGGTATATAATCAAATTTCTTCATTGACCATTCAAATATTTTTTTACAATAGGAGCATTTACAGGCTCACCAAGTCTCAATTTATAACAGTGTGGGTTTTGACAAATTGATCCAAAATGCTACTTTCACAAATTTTTTGCAAACTATGAATTGATTTTGCGAAATACACTTCCATTATTTGTGTAATGATCTTGAATTTATTTAAAATTTTGCTGAATTCCCTCTCCAAACCCGCGTAGTGAAGAAATATTGTTTGTATCATTATGTAGAGTTTTCCTCCATCAAGTTAAATGGAGATTTCGATTGTGGGAATAACGACAATAAAAGTGGTCTAAATTTCAAAAAATTGTCCTTATACTCGCAATCTAAATTTCCATTGTTTGTATTGTAGAAGTTGTTTTGAAGGCAGGCGTTGCTTTTGGCATGTTTGTTTGTATCACATAGGTACATATTATTTAAATCATATAAGTAACAAGATTACGGAATATTTCAAATTTGGACAATGCACATATGTAGAACCTCGAATGTCATGTGGCAAGCAATATTCACAAAATCAAATCAAATAAAGGAACCATCCCTAATAAGTAGCCCTGAGATAGTGATAAACATAAGTAAATTACTCATAACTTGAAAACGCCGCAACCGATTTGAATTTTTATTTCAGCTATGGAAAGGCGAATGATGTCGAAATAAATCTGTGATGAAAAATACAGGGTGTTCCATTTGAAAAATTCTAATGAACGTCGTCTGAATCTTACAATATTCAGAAT